GCTAGAAACATACCAATGGGGATTTCGGATTCCCTGAGAACGTCTTTTTATCCTGCTGTTTCACCCGTCGCTACAATCCTTGCTTTTTATTTACTTTTATATTATCTTGTTGCAAGTCACTACATTACTCAATTATCATTTTTACTCGCTCACACTCTGCTTTAAGTCTACAACTTTCTGCAGGCACAAAAATATATAATTCCCTACAAAAGGCAAGTGTATGTTTCATGTGCTCCCATTGGGATCGATACTCTTACTTCAAAAAGGCTACAACTAAATCCTGTGCACTTGCAGGCTATCACCCCTCCACCAGAGTATCGATGGAGGCCTCCAGATGAGATCGGGAAAGAACAAATGATTGCGGTAGCGGAATAATTGTTTCGGTTCTCGCTCTGATGTTTTTTGGGATTTTAGGGAATTTATAAAAGTGGAATTAGGTCAATCGGTAGGCCTGGGCATAAAAACCGACGAACCGAATACCGAACCGATGCCGAAACCGAAAAAACCTAATTTTCGGTTTTTCTTACTGCTACAGGAAAATTCGGTTTTAACTTTTAATAACCGAATTGTATTCGGTCAGTTCGGTTTTATACCGATCGCGAAACAGAAAACCGAACTAACTGTTCGTACGCGCAAATATCCTAGTGCCCAGCTCGCGTGGACCTTGGCGCGATGTGCGTGGCCGCATGCGTGCGAGTCACTTGCTGGGCCGGCCAAATACGTTCAGCTAATCAGGCCCACTATTTTGCAGGATAGTTTCTCCCAGCCGTGCTAGTACGCCACTTGCACTTGGATTTGTCCCACCTCGCCTAGCTACACGAGATGAGGCAGTGCGTTCAGCTACTTAAGAAGGCTGGGTGCTAGAGGCAAAATACACGCTGGAAACGTTGTGAGAACAACTCAAGCTCTCACCTCGGTATAAACTAAAACCGAACCGAATTTCCCGGTTAACCGAATTTTCGGTTTTCTAAATTTTTATGCTGTTTTCGGCTAGCAATCTGAGAAACCGATTTTCAAAAAAAACTCAACTTGGTGTTATGGAAACTGAACTTTCGGTTTCTACCGAATGCCCAGGCCTATCAATCGGTGTTACAAGGTGATCACAAGGTCAGGTGGGGTGCGCCCCCTGGGATCGTACCGTGTGAGCTTGTGGCCCACTTGTACATTGTGTGATCTCATTTTTTGTGAAACAAAATAATCATTGTGTGATCTCATTTTTTGTGAAACAAAATAATAGGCAAAAACAGGAACTCATCAATCTCCATCATTCTTACCTCACCAAGACCCATGCTTTAATAATGATAATCATCACACTTTTATTTACTTACAACTACATAAACTGAAACAATGACTTTATATGAAACAATGACTTTATATGAGTGCCTCTGGCAGTGTATCAGGTTGTGCAATAATCTTGCATAACATGTACAACAATGATGAACGTGGCTTTGCCACAAATATCATGTCAGCCCTATATGATCATGAAAGCAATATAATGATGAATACACATGTCATGTGGAAGTAACCATAAAAGTTGCAGGTCAATATATCTCGGAATGACTATGAAAATACCATTGTAAGTAGCTTAGCCACTTTATATATGGTATACGTTCGGTAGGCTTAGGGCAACTCCAATGGGGAGACCCAAACAGACCAGATTTTGTCCGGATTTTGTCCGTTTGGGTCGTCCGTCCGCCTAGCGGATATGAGGCGGGCACGCGCAGCCGGTGGATAAACCCAACACATAAGATGCAAAAACGGACACGCACGGCGGAGGACTTGAGGCGGTTGTTCCTGAAGGAAATATGCCCTAGAGGCAATAATAAAGTTATTATTTATTTCCTTATATCATGATAAATGTTTATTATTCATGCTAGAATTGTATTAACCGGAAACATAATACTTGTGTGAATACATAGACAAACAAAGTGTCACTAGTATGCCTCTACTTGACTAGCTCGTTAATCGAAGATGGTTATGTTTCCTAACCATAAACAAAAGAGTTGTTATTTGATTAACGGGATCACATCATTAGGAGAATGATGTGATTGACATGACCCATTCCATTAGCTTAGCACCCGATCGTTTAGTATGTTGCTATTGCTTTCTTCATGACTTATACATGTTCCTATGACTATGAGATTATGCAACTCCCGTTTGCCAGAGGAACACTTTGTGTGCTACCAAACGTCACAACGTAACTGGGTGATTATAAAGGAGCTCTACAGGTGTCTCCAAAGGTACATGTTGGGTTGGCGTATTTCGAGATTAGGATTTGTCACTCTGATTGTCAGAGAGGTATCTCTGGGCCCTCTTGGTAATGCACATCACATAAGCCTTGCAAGCATTGCAACTAATGAGTTAGTTGCGAGATGATGTATTACGGAACGAGTAAAGAGACTTGCCGGTAACGAGATTGAACTAGGTATTGAGATACCGACGATCGAATCTCGGGCAAGTAACATACCGATGACAAAGGGAACAACGTATGTTGTTATGCGGTCTGACCGATAAAGATCTTCGTAGAATATGTAGGAGCCAATATGGGCATCCAGGTCCCGCTATTGGTTATTGACCGGAGACGTGTCTCGGTCATGTCTACATTGTTCTCGAACCGTAGGGTCCGCACGCTTAAGGTTTCGATGACAGTTATATTATGAATTTATGAGTTTTGATGTACCGAAGGAGTTCGGAGTCCCGGATGAGATCGGGGACATGACGAGGAGTCTTGAAATGGTCGAGACGTAAAGATCGATATGTTGGACGACTATATTCGGACATCGGAAAGGTTCCGAGTGATTCGGGTATTTTTCGGAGTACCGGAGAGTTACGGGAATTCACCGGGAGAAGTATTGGGCCTTATTGGGCCATACGGGAAAGAGAGAGGGGCTGCCTAGGGCAGGCCGTGCGCCCCCCCCAAGGCCTAGTCCGAATTGGACTAGGGGGAGGGGCTGCGCCCCTTCCCTGTTTCCTACTCCTACTACATGGAAGGACTCCTAGTTGGACTAGGAAAGGGGGAATCCTACTCCCGGTGGGAGTAGGACTCCCCTATGGCGCGCCATAGAGAGGGTCGGCCATCCCCTCCTCCACTCCTTTATATACGGGGGCAGGGGGCACCCCATAGACACAGAAGTTGATCTTCGTGATCGTTCCTTAGCCGTGTGCGGTGCCCCCCTCCACCATATTCCACCTCGGTCATATTGTAGCGGTGCTTGGGCGAAGCCCTGCGACGATAGAACATCAAGATCGTCACCACGCCGTCGTGCTGACGGAACTCCTCCCCGACGCTTTGCTGGATCAGAGCCCGGGGATCGTCATCGAGCTGAACGTGTGCCAAGAACTCGGAGGTGCCGGAGTAACGGTGCTTGGATCGGTCGGATCGTGAAGACGTACGACTACATCAACCGCGTTGTCACAACGCTTCCGCTGTCGGTCTACAAGGGTACGTAGATCACACTCTCCCCCCTCGTTGCTATGCATCACCATGATCTTGCGTGTGCGTAGGAATTTTTTTGAAATTACTATGTTACCCAATAGTTCCAGCGGCCGTGGACGGACGAGGAGGAGTTGCATCCTGCGGGGGTTCCTTCGTCTTCAAGAGCGGGCATGAGCAGGGCGAGCAGGCGCGCGGCGGGCGCGAACGAGGTGGCGCAGCGAGCGGCGACGTGCGCGGCGAGCTGCGGGCGGGGCGAGCAGCCGCACGGGCCGCTCGATGCAGTGCAGCAGGGAGGGAGGTGGTTGTGGCTTACCGAGTTTACGGGTAGTAGTTGGAGGCGGCGGGCCTGACCTCGGCAGAAATGACCTTCATGCCCCCGCCGCCCAACCCTCCTCCGCCCCCGCGCAGCGCCGACGAGCTTCTCTGCCCGAGGTGCTTATACTGCTGCTCCGCGGAGTTCTTCCTAGTGAGCGCGGCGGGCGGCGGAGATCTCCCTGGTGCGCGGCGATGGGCGGCGACGACGGCATGGCCAGTGACCCGAGGCCTCGCCGGCGAGGACGACGGAGGAGGCGGAGGCCTCACCGTCGAGGACGGCAACTCGTGGCGGCGCTCGGCTGGGTGGGGATCTCGCTGCAGTTCCCAAACGGCTCGTGCTGTGTCGCAGACTAGTAGGACCAGGGCGGACACGGGAGGGTAGCAGCGGACGAGAGGAGCACCCGCTTTTGTCCGTCGTGGACCCATTTGTGGCCCAAATTTGGGCTCAGTTTGGGTCGGGGTGGATGACAAACGGACAGCAGACGGACTTGCGCGTCTGTTTGGGTCGCTCCATTGGGCTACGTTTTCTGTCCGGAACTCCGGATGACCCAAACGAACAAAATGAATCGCACCATTGAAGTTGCTCTTAGAGTATTTTGGACAGTAAAACTTCTCTAATGAGAAGTCTTGATATAAGTAGCATCAACTTGATAGACTTTGTTCCGACTACAAGTCTGCAAGGTCACACGTACGTCACGAGGTTTGGGTTCCAACAGGACATGGAGATCAGATGCGTGTGGTAGGCTGGTAGCGCTATTCCCGAAAACTGAAGCCCGTGCGCGTACGACAACGGTGATATTCCCGAAAACTGACAAAGGTACCTTTGGGAGTGTCGACGTGCACGTACGACCACGGGCACCTTTGGGAGTGTCGACGTGCACTAGCTTACCGCCGTGCACCCAAACTACCCGCCCAGTTTATAAGAGCCAGCGGTGCCCGTGCTCTTCACTTCACCATAGGGATAGCAGCACGCCAGCCAGCAGCAGCTTGGTACGGCTCGTCCTCTTCACTTCACTTGTCTCTCTTCTCACCTCTGCTTCCTTCCCTAGCTTTGCCATGTTTCACTTGGCTGAATAATGCATCGCTAGCTAGGCTCTATCTATCTCTTCAAGTATTATGTTATGCCTGGTTCAGCCTAAGAATGGCGTGGTTATGAGTTATGATTGCCTCGTCAGTACGTATTATTAATTTCAGTTGTCTTAATCATTTGTACTTTCAACTGTCAGCAACAGCAGCAGTAGGTGACAAGATGAAGACGATCATGCTCCTGGGCATCATCGTCACACTAGTCGCATCAGGAAGTGCTGCTTTCCTTCCGACGACGGAAGCGGCCACCGTGCGAGCCCCCCTGCTGAAGACGCAGACGTTCCTGTCCCCGCCCTTCTTCCTCCGCCCCGGCGGCATCGCCAACAAGTGGTACTACGACGTGGACTTCCCCCGCGGCCACGTGGCCATCAAGAGCTTCAACGGCGACGTCGTCGACGAGGCCGGCGCCCCGGTCCCTCTCCACGAGACCTACCTCCACCACTGGCTCGTCTCGCCCTACTACGGCCCAAGCGCCATCCCGATCACCAACTCCGGCCCCTGCAAGGACTTGCTGGGCCAGTACTTCGGGCTGGGCTCCGAGACCCGGCGAACGGCCACGTGGGTGCCCGACCCGTACGGCATCGAGATCGGCGCCGGCGCCCCGGCCGGGTACGAGGAGCGGTGGCTCATCAACGTGCACGCCATCGACACGCGCGGCGCCGCCGACAAGCTCGCCTGCACCGAGTGCAGGTGCGATGCGTACAACGTCACCGTCGATGAGACCGGCAACCGCATCGGGAACGGCTACGTCGGCGGGATACACTGCTGCTACGACAGCTTACGGTGCAGGGTGGAGGACGCGTTCGCCAACAATGGCGAGCCGCCGCGGAAGCTGTTCCTCCGGTACACCGTGTCGTGGCTTGACTGGAGCGACGCCGTCGTTGTGCCGGTGAGGATCTACATTCTTGATGTCACCGATACGGCTCTGTTCGATGGAAGCCCCAAGCCTTATTGCAAGGTTTGTATATGTCTACTCTCTCTCTCTCTCTCTCTCTTCCTAGTCTCTATATCTCATATAGGTCTTTTCAGTGATTCTAACATGGACTACTTACGGAGTAGGCTGTTCAAGCATTAACAATTGTTGAAAAATGGCTGGCTTTACAGATAGAGTATCGTGTGGACGAATGCAGCTCGGATGACCGAGCGAGTAACAACTGCGTCGACATGAAGACGACCAAAGAAATGGTGTCCCATGGAGGCGACGTCGTCTACGCCGTTGCTCACCTGCATAGAGGTGGCCTCGGTTCCTCGTTGCACGGCCAGGTATATGTCACCTATTCATACATGAGTGAATTATAGAATCCATCGATATTAAAGGCTCAGCTGCTCCGGCCGCACACAGGGAGGGAGTGGTCGCCGGTGTCCACCACCGGACTAGAGGAGCCGATTGCTTTTTAGGGGTCTTTTTGCAAAACAAAAATGTATCAGGATGTATTAGTCTTTATTTTTTGCCACGTCATCCTGTTCAGCGAGACCCATCTATCATAATCATGCTCAAAACGGCCTAAGCCACCGACTAGTGTTTTTGCAACAAAAAAAAAGCTTCAGAATTAGTAATTTTTGGCACAATTCCGTTACAATTCACTTATTTATACAACCATACTCCATTTCTAGCTTTGGAATGGATCGAATGCATGAATTCTCATCTGAAGAAATTAAACGCAAGAACGACTCAAATCTTATTATCAGGACGGCCGCCTGCTCTGCAAGTCCATGCCAATCTACGGCACCGGGCAGGAGGCCGGGAATGAGGAGGGATACGTCGTCGGGATGTCGACGTGCTATCCGGAGCCGGGTACGGTGAAGGTAAGGGACGGTGAGGTGCTGACCATGGTCTCCAACTACAGCAGCGAGCGGCAGCATACGGGGGTCATGGGCCACTTCTACATCCTTGTGGCAGATCATCAGGAGCAGGCTCTCAACAAACCGGCCCTTTGCTTCAGCTTCCCATACTCATGTGAGCTAATAGTTTTTTTTTTTGATTTGGTTCTATCTCATCTTGCAATTTGAAATAAGCCGCATGTCTTTTGCACTGACATGGTTTCCTCGCTCGTTGTTTTTTTCTTCTTTCGAATACTATTGCAGGGTGCCTCCCGGCATGGATGTGGAGCAACCAGATGTGAGAGAAGCGCATATATGCTTACAGCGAGTTATACATCGTTTCCGTAATTAAGAAAATAAGGCGTGCTTATTAGAGCATGAATCCGCTATGTCACTATGTGTGTGTAATTTGCATGGATGTGGAGTAATGTTGTGTTGTGTGTGGTAGCAGGCCGCAGCTAGCTTTGAGATAATAGCATTTGTATGTATGGCTAAATTCGAATAGGCCTTTCGGCCGGATTGAAGGTGTGTGACTATAAATGATACCGCTAAGTAGTAAGGTTTGCTGGTCTCGTCCGTCTATCTACACTTTCTGCTTTTCTTTTCGTAGCCTTGTAGGCACGTTGGCACAGCCGTTTCCATTTGTCTTTTACAGGCTTAATTAATACTCCATTCGTTTTAAAATAAGTGTCCTTAATTTTATGAGCTCTTTTACAGTGATTGGGGAGTTACGATTTATAATTTCATGTAACTCCACCTTTGATTATTTCTAGCCATTGGATCTGGGAAAATTATTTTAAGATTTATTTTTTTCTAAAAGGGTATAATAGTACTTGAGTCGCTCGTCCGTTTCCGTTCCTCACGGCATGTTCAGAGGCCGTCCCCACGCACGAATGAATCGGTTTCTCCGCATAGCCGCCGTGTTAGCCCAGAACTACTCGCTAGCACTCGAGTACACTGATACACGACCGGCGGAAGAGCCAAGTGCTACTACTGCCTGCTCAGCACACTAGCAAAGCACACACACTCACTAGTGCTGCTTACACACACACGCACATGGAAGAGAGAAGCTCACGGACACACTAGCTCTTGTGAAGCTCAAATGGATTTTGAATGGAATGAGTTACATCGATGGAGCACAGCTCCTTATATAGTGGTCACGAACCGACCTAAGCAAAATATCTGCTAGCTATGAAGTAAGCACTTGCGTCACATACTAGCTTATCTAGTAAGCTTCGTTTCTACTACTACTACTGCCTTAACTAGTAAGGAATGCAAAAGCTGTTGTTGCCGACCTGCACCTTCTGCATGCTAGCTAAGTGACCGCTTGTGCTGCTGCCGCCGCTGTAGCCACGCATGCATCTAGCCATGCATGCATCGGAGACAGGGTTGGGCCCACAATCTCCCCCTCAACCATGTCGGAGGGTCTTGATGTCGATGATCCCGATCTTGTTGCGCGGTTCTTGGAACTCGACGCAACCAAGTACCTTCGTTGGGATGTCCGCCTTCTCGGCGGCCCATACGCCCTGTTCGTGCTTCTTGATCTCGGGTGCTGCGATCGTCTCGCGGGCTCGAGAAGGTCCCCCTAGGCTTCGGAACCTGTGTGGATCGCCACCATTTTTGTTGGCATCGAACAAGTCCGACCGCGCTGTTGACGGGGACATGAACTGCCCGGGAACCACCTCGCTCGTGGGCGTCAGTGTTCCTGGGGTCGTAGTTCCTGATGTCACACTGCCCGGGAACTCCCTTCCCGGGGTCGTCGTGCCGGACGCCGCACTGCCCGGAAACTCCCTTCCCGGGGATGACTTGTCGGGCATCGCACTACCCAGGAACTCCCTTCCTGGGGTCGTTGTGCCGGACGCCGCACTGCCCGGAGTGGCTCCTCTCAGGGTAGCGAAGTCCTTGGTGTTCTTCCCATCAGACTTGCTTGTCGGGTCTCCTCCGACAGTTGTGAGTCGTGCCTTCCGCACGGACTCGATGGACCCCGAGCGCGTCAGGGTTGCTGCGTGGCTGACCATAGAGCACCGCGCCTCCTGCACAACCTCGATGGTCGCCAGAGTCACGGTCGAGGCCTTGCCGCCCCATGACCGTCTCTTCATGGCCTCCCAGCTGTTGAGGCCCGTCGAAGAGTGCCGTGTTGCCCACACGGGCTTGCAGAACCCCGAGAACCTGGTTGTCGGGGTGTGGCCGACCTGAGAGTGTCGTGCCTCTTGCACGGTCTCACTGGTCACCAGCATCATGGTTGGGACGTGGCCCACCATATACGTCGTTGCCGTGCCTCCTGACACGGGCTTATTGGGTCCCGAGGATGTCGGGTACGCCTTTGTCGTGCCAACTTGCACGGGCTTGACCAGCGTCGCAGGGGACGTGGTTTCCGGGGTGTGGCTCCCCCACACCCGGGTCTTCATCTCCTCCCAATCGTAGCCTCCCGAGAACGTTGTTGCCGAGGAGAGCGCTACCGATGTCGAGAGGGGATTACTTGAAGAGCTCCGTGCCTCCCGCACGGACTTAACGGTTGCCGGCACCGTGGTCGTCGGAGGTGCTGCGCCCTCCTGCACGGCTTCGATGCTTGTCAGGACCATGGTCGCCGGAGGCGCTCCGCCCTCCTGCATGGTCTCGACGCAAGCCATCATCATTGCTGGCCCACCGTCTTCTTCAGCCTCGACGAGGTTCGCCGCGGCCGCGGCATCCTCGTCAGCCATCCTCTTGCGGCACTCACGGGCCCAGTGGCCCTTGATGCTGCAATATCGGCACTTGTCTCGGTCGTCGTTGCCGGCACCTCGCCCGGCTCCACCCTGGGTGCGACCGCCGCCTCTGCTGCTCTGGGCACCGCCACCACGTCCTTGACGCTTCCTCGCCTCCCACTTCTTTGAGAATAGGAGTTGTCCGCCGCCGAAGCTCTCGCGGCCGTCGTCAAGACGGTCCTCGACCACCTGCAACCGGCCCGTGAGCTCCTCGACGGAGAGCTCACTCAGATCAAGCAAGGTCTCGATGGAGACCGCTACCTGAGCGAAGCGAGATGGCACGACGCGGAGAAATTTCCGCACGACTCTCGCGTCGTCCATGGTGTCGCCGAGCGCGCGGAGCTGTGACGCAAGGCTGGAGATCCGCATGGCGAATTCGTCGACGAGCTCGCCCTCCTTGAAGGCGATGTTCTCGAAGTCCGCCCGCAGCTTCTGCGCGTTCGCCTCGCGCACGCGGTTGCTGCCGAGGCGCTGGGTACGGATGGCTTCCCACGCCTCCTTGGCGCTTGCCTTCGCCGCGAGCATGCCGTGCATTTCCGGCGGCGTGGCGCGCATGAGTGCCGCCACCGCTTTCCTGTCCTCCTTTCTCTCGACCAGGTCGTCCTCCATAGGAGCCCAGAGGCTCGCCGCATGGAGGTTGCACTCCATGATCAACGCCCACTCGCTGTAGTTAGAGCGCGTGAGCATCGGGAAGGTGATGGGTACGCTACCACTGACCGCGGTCTCGCGCACGACCTCCCTAACCACGACCTCACCGCGATGGCCGCGCCTGGAGCGGCTGCGCCCTCGCCGCTCCTCCGGAGCCGACGACTGGGAGCCGTCCTGTGATGGCCGCGCCTGGGAACCAACCGAGGTGGTGCGCTGCTGAACTCCTTTACCACCGGCCATGGCTACCACAACCAGAGGCTCTGATGCCAATTGTTAGCCCAGAACTAGGTTATGGGCCCACCACGCTTCCGCTGCGCTAGAACTACTCGCTAGCACTCGAGTACACTGATACACGACCGGCGGAAGAGCCAAGTGCTACTACTGCCTGCGCTCAGCACACTAGCAAAGCACACACACTCACTAGTGCTGCTTACACACACACGCACATGGAAGAGAGAAGCTCACGGACACACTAGCTGTTGTGAAGCTCAAATGGATTTTGAATGGAATGAGTTACATCGATAGAGCACAGCTCCTTATATAGTGGTCACGAACCGACCTAAGCAAAATATCTGCTAGCTATGAAGTAAGCACTTGCGTCACATACTAGCTTATCTAGTAAGCTTCGTTTCTACTACTACTACTGCCTTAACTAGTAAGGAATGCAAAAGCTGTTGTTGCCGACCTGCACCTTCTGCATGCTAGCTAAGTGACTGCTTGTGCTGCTGCCGCCGCTGTAGCCACACATGCATCTAGCCATGCATGCATCGGAGACAGGGTTGGGCCCACACGCCGCACATCCCGCTCGTAGACGGGTAGCTTGGTGCGCCGTTTAGATCATCCCCACGCGGCGACCCCGATCCAGAAGAGAAGCGGCAGTCCGCGACCTTGTTGTCACTCCTCCGCCAAGGTTCCGGTCGTGGCGCATCCAATCCGCGTGCCGGCCGGCCCTGTACGCCATCATCGGGAACTTCGTCGCCAAGGCGTGGAACGGCTCCGGCCTCTTCCCTGACCCCTGCGGCCAGACCGCCATCCAGGTTCCTCTCCCCCACAACCCCTTTTTCTTTACCTCGTCTTCAGCTCTTGATTGATTTATGTTGGCTTCAACTTTGAGTAATGGAGGATTGGACAACACCAAAATTTGTTCTTTTTTCAGGAATTAATCAATCCCCAGTTCAGTTCCTGCTCTACATTTTCATGTTTTGGGGTTCAGTATAAATCGTTGCTCACAAGGATTGCTTGCACGTCTAATTAATGGAACTGCTGCTCTACAGTCTACACCATACGTCGGATACCCTACTGCCTTAGTCAGCGCCGGCGACCTTCCCGCACACTAAAGGTAGGTGCATACATGTTGTGTAGGAGATGATGGCAGCAAACTTTCAGCTACAAGGGGTTTCGTGGTAGGGAACTATTGCGGTTGTGGTCCTATTATCAAGTTGTAATCCCAGCTGAATAGTATTTTATTCTCTGTAACTAATCATGTTTTTGTGGTATAGGATGATGGAAACAGTCCCGATTGTGTGGGCATATGCATATGGTTCGTGTACATAACAGTCTGAACTGGCCTTGCCATCGATCTAATCTACAACTTTTGTATCATGCGCTGTTAGGTACTGCTATTTTTGTGGTAGTATTATTTTCTTCAAGTATTCCATTCTCTGTAACAAATTCTGCTAGTGATTACAGTTTACTTGCCATGAAGCCTGAGCAGTGCATCTATATCCTTCATATAATAGCTTATTTAATCATGCTTTCTACAAATTTTAGTGCTCAAAGATAATAAGACTGGACCTTGAAAGTGGGTAGAGAGCAAATGAAATTTTGCCATCAGAATGTGATACTTCAGTACAAACGTCCTTTAATGATGTTTGCTGTTCTTAGGGAATGGGGATCTATCTTTCGTTTAA